CTCACCACGTTCCCAAGCCAAGGTTTTCTGCCGAGGCTCGTTTCCGAGTCGAGCCAGCTGTGAGGTGGTGTGGCCAAACCAGAAAACGTGCTGCTCACACCTCACACACCACCAACGCGACTTCACGCGGGATGCGGTTCGGGCTCATGGCACCTCCCTAGACAGATGTTTTTAGTAGAACCCACTCCTTGCACTTGAAATCAGCTCAAAGCTTGACAAATTCCGAAATAACGACATTACCGATTGCTTTTCCATGCAATACCTTTTCAGGGGAGGGATTTCATTTCGTGCTGGAGGGGAAATGCCTGTGCACCGTCCAGCCCTACACACTCAAGTTTGTTGTGCCTGGGCTTCCCTCCTAGTCGAAAGACAGTGTCGTTTTCGGCATGTTGGTCGACGCTGATTGCTGCACCTCAACCTCAGTGGTCTGGCTGGAAGCGCTCCTCTGAGAGGACGTGATTACACGTCACCATTCACGAACAGACAAATTACGAAGCAGATTTTGAGGTTCAGAGCTCGCAGAGCCTGGTCTTTGGTTGGTAGACATCTGGCTCGTCGTGGCTGAACTAGGAGTCACCAGCTACAGCGCCTACAGCACTGCTGCACTGCAGCCATTCCCCCCACCTTTCCCCCTCCCCGCAAACCTCTCCCCATTCCCTTTTCCTCGTCACACTCCCTTCGCCTGTTCAATTGCTCCGCTTGCATCCTCTCCCCCCATCGCGCGTTCTGGTTGTTGGTGTATCTCAATCAACAGCGTACTCTTGTCGTGAACGATACCCCAGACAAACGTTCACAAATGTACAGAATCGTACTTCACCGTATTGATAAGAGCTCGACCCCTTGCTCCAAGGTTGTTCATATGTAATTCCTGCTCGGCTGGCTGATGCCTGGTTGATCAACAGATCGACTCTGGCTATGTCTATGTCGTCTGTTGAAATCAAGTGTTTGAGCGACCACCTTACGGCTATTCCCGCAACCAGGAAGTGAACAGCATTTTCTTCGCGTACAAAGCAAATCAGATTATTGTTGCTTAGTCTCGCCTTTCACCTAAGTTCGACGTTTCGCTGTTCGTAAGTGCATCATTTGGAGTCGGACCGACACGCGATTTTGTGGCGTGTCGCCTAGTTGTTGCTCCACCTGTCGCCGAGCTGTCGCCGAGTTGTCGCGCGCGTCGCATGGCGATGGTGGATTACCTGGTGATGGGCTTCGGCCTCGCCGCGTGCGGCGGCTCGCTCTGCGGCGGCGTGCTGATCGCCTTCGACTCGCACGCGCCCGAAAAACTCAAGGTACGGACGAGCGTGTGCTGCAAGGTACGGACAAGTGTTTGCTGCAAGGTACGCCCGAAATACTCGAGGTACGAAGCTGGCAATATGAGCTTACGACAGTAGCGTAGTTGCACGGGTCCCGCTCGCCCCCGCTCTTTCCGCTCTTCCTCCTCCCCTCCGTAAACGCCCATCCTCCCCTCCGCTCTTTCTTCGCGCGCATATGGCGAAGCCAGAGCCCGTTCGCTTCCTGTTTTGAGACGCCTCAAAACTCGTTCGCTTCCTGTTATGAGACGTCTCAGATGTTGAGACGTCTCAAAACTCGTTCGCTTCCTCCCGCTCTCTTGCCGTCTCTCCCCGTTCCCTTCTCCCCTTCCCACACCCTCCCCCGCCGTCTCCGCCCTCCCCGGCTCTTCCCCATCCTCCCCCCCGAACCGTTCCCTCCCATCCGTGCGCATTCCAGCCGTTTACGGGCGGAGTTTTTCATAACGGCTACGCTGTATCAATAAACTAGCTCTTGGTCCGCCCACTTCCCCCGTCCCGTCCTCCCCCTGTCCTGTCTTTCCCCTCCCACATCGTCCCCATCCCTCGTCACCCCCTCCCCCTTCATCCCGCCCTCCCCCCTCCGCCCCTTCCCTCCCCACTCCCCCCGTATTCCGCCTGCCGCTCTTCCCCTTACCCCGTGTCCTCCCGCCCCCATCAAAGCTTTCCCATCTCCTCATCTTTCCTCTCCCCCAATCTCCCCCTTGGCGCCTTCTCCATCTTTCCCCCATCCCCCTGGCGCAACAGGCGGAGGATGCGGAACCCATTCGCAACGGCGAGTCGCTCATGGACCCGCCCTGCCTACACCGCATCTCGCGCCCATCCCACGGCGCCGCGCATTCCTCCGGCGGCGCCACGCGTCCGTCGCTCACTGGCTCTCGCCCGGCAAGCGCGCCGATTCGAACCGACCGACCTGAGGCGCAACCGACGGCGCGTATGCCGCCCGCGAATCACGGCGACGAGCGGAAAGAAACGCGCCACGTGGCTTCAGCCGGCCACCACCCGCATCCGACGCGGTCGCGCTCCTACGTATCGTCTCCCGCGGAGCTAGAAGACGCGGTTCCTCCGCTTGATGCGCCGCGAGATGCAGAGCGGCGGAGAAGCTTTGACGGGTCGGAGTCGGAAAGGGCCAGCCTTATGCGCGATGGTGACTATAACGGATGCTATCCTCACGGGGGGCCGTTCGAGTCGCGCGAGGGCAATTACGCTAATTACCCGGGTTACCCTGCGCACGGGGTTGGAATGCTGGCGCGGCCACACTCACACCCCAACATGCACCCTCGACCGCATCAGTGCGGGTCAGAGGGGGATGAGATGCAGCAGCACCGGTACTACCAGCATCACCAGCACCAACAGCAAGCGCAGCAGCAGCGGATGTACTATCAGCAGCAGTGCCACCAGTATCAAGCAGTACTTGCAACAGCAGCAGGAGCAGAATCGGGAGCACCAGCCGCAGCTGCAGCATCAGCAGCAGGAGCAGGAGCAACAGCAGGATCACCGTCGTTTTCACAGCAACCATTACCCGCATCCGCTCCCCCTACAGAAGCCCCCGCACTCGCGCTCACACACCCCACCCTTCCCCCCTTCATACCAACCCCCCCATGCGCCGGATTTTCCTCCACACGCCCCCCCGCGTTTGCCCCCCCTCGTACCCCCCTTCCGCCTTCCCCAACCGGCCCCGCGGGTGCGCCCATATGCCCGCCCGCGCAGAGGCAGCAGGGGGGCCCGGGGGAGCAAACGGCGCACAGGCAGCTGGAGCAGGGGCTTAGGACGCTGCCCAGACTGAAGGTGTGAGGGGATTGAGCCTGGGAAGCGAGTGAGACAGCACAGGTGAGAGCACGCAGCTGGAGCAGGGGCTTAGGACGCTGCGCAGACTCAAGAAGGCTGCCCACTCAAGAAAGGAATTTTCTAATCTGGGCCAAGGCGTTTGGGAGGGATGGGCACAGGAGGCGTGAGGGGGAGGATGCGAACAGGAAGTGTGAGAGGCTGGCTTGTGCAATAGCAGCAATGGAGGCTGAAGTGGGGCTGTGCAGAGGGAAAGAGAGGGGGGTGGGGAGCGCCAATGCTAGTTGAAGCAGGGGAAGTGAGTGTGGGCATGTATGGGGGGGAATTGGCCGCGGAAGAGAGATGGGGTGGGGGGGTGAGGAGACTGGTGAGGGCTGTAAGTGGAGGGATGGGGGCACTGGGCAGTTGCCTTTTATGCCTTTAAACAGAACGGCGTGTCTTTTATGTAGTTGCCTTTTATTTTACAGTGGGGAATTATATGCAAAGGTAGCTGGAGCAGGGGGGTTAGGAACTTGAAGTGTACTGCGGTATTTTTGTTGGCGTTTTAGCACTGCAGAAACTCCTAATATTATTATACTTGTGCACTCGAAATAGTGTGAAGATCAAGCTGGGAATAAACGTTCAACTTACTAGAATGATTGTGATGACATAGTTTAGGGTACAATCAAAAGCAACGGCACCACTGTACTGTTTTATCAGGCTCCTTTGCACCCCTTGAGATGGCCGCCGGGCCTGCAGCAGCCCACCTTACAAGCTGCTCAGTATTTCTCGAGAGCCTATGCTGATTCCCCCGACTTGCTTCGATATCCGAATTGCGCTGCTGTAACCTCAATGTTCCAAATTCGCAGGTTCTAGATTCCAGGTTTGATACTCCTCTCGAATCCTCCTGACTCCCTCGCACCAATCTCATGGCTTGCTGCCTTGGAGTCGAGCGATCATCGTCGTTCGGTATGCTTGTCTCCAAGTGCCGTCGTTAGCAATCGACGTCGCATGATTCGCCAGCGGCCTTTCGCTCATGAGCTGCTCCCGATCGCTTCTGATTTGCGAGTGCTACTGCTCTGAATCGTATATTACCGTTCTGACCTCCTTAAGCAGTGCTTATCAGTATTTTTTCTACTCAATTCCCGGAATGCAGGCGACCCAAAATACCTGGCACGGTACGCACTTGTGAGGGTCGCAGTACGATGCGTGTAGTTAAAATTTAGTGCAATTTCACGCTAATTTATTACGCTCCGCCGTCGTAAGCCATCGCATCCTCAGGCGCCTCGTTATAGTCACCCACCACCCGCCACGTCATCAATGACAACATCATCCTCCGTCACTTGCTCATTGCGCTTACCACCAGGCACAGCACCCGCTGCCAGCTCTTGGTCACTGCGCTTTCAACCCCAAAAATCAGTCCACGGAGCAATACAGTCACGCGTAGGGTGTGAATTCAGCGGCAGCTCACAACAATGGAGGTGCGCAACTGACAGAGCAACCCACGGAGCAACCCGCAGAGCAACCCGCAGAACAGCAACTCATGCCTGTCGAAGGCCAGGAGCAAGGGCAGGGGTGTGTGTGAGTGTTGCTGCTGCTGCTGCGGAAGAATCAGCAGGAGGAGGAGCAGGAGGAGGAGCAGCGGGAGGAGCAGCAGAAGCAGGAGCAGAAGCAGCAGCAGGAGCAGCAGCAGGTGGGCTAGCAAGCAGTCCAGCAACCCCTGCCAGCCCAAGACAAAGAGTAAGGGCAGACATTAACGCGATTGTTGCAGCTGCTGCTGCTGCTGCTGTGGCGGCGACAGTATCTGCAGGAGCTGCTGAGAAAGCAGCGGCAGCATCAGCAGGAGCGGCAGCAGCAGGGGGGGTGTCAGCGCTACCACCAGTGGCAGGGAAGGCGGTGCGAGTGGTGCAGTGCGTGTCTCGCTGTGCCCCCATGCTGGAAGATAACTTCCTCAACAACTCCGCCAGAACGGTGTACTCTAATGTGCTCATGCCTGGAGAAACAATCTGTGGGGCTGTTAACATGGTTTCCGGCCCGTTTGATGGGAGCTGTTGCAGCGATCAGAGACGCTGGTAAGTGCAAGTCATGTGCGCCAGGCCACTGCCTCACCACACCCCATGTGTGTCACCTGTTAGCATGGCTGCCGGCCCGTTTGATGGCAGCTGTGCAGCGATCAGATACGCTGGTAAGATGTGCTCCTGCTGCGTGCCCCACGCAGTATGTTCTTATGCCTGGCGCGAAATCGTTTGGGCTGTTAGCATGATTTCCGGTCCGTGTGATGGCAGCTGTGCAGCGATCAGAGACGCTGGTAAGTGTGGTTCAGTGCATTTACTGCGAGCACATTTCTCTCCACGTCATTGGTCGCTGCTCCCCTCACAATACGGAGTCAAACCACACGCATTTCATGACATCTGGACCCTGAATTTCATGCCACGTGGCAGGTTGTGATTGCTCTGCGGGAGTCGATTGTGTTTCTTGCCCTCATCGCCCTCTTGCTGTCACACCTAACGTCTGCCGAGCCCTCAACTGGTAACCATTAACTGGTAACCATCAACTGAAAAGCATAGTCTGTTAATCATTACAATGTCATCTCGTTGCAATGCCATGTCATGTTTGGCTCTCTTGACTTCTTGTGAAGACAGCCACCCAGGAACCATCCAGTTCTCAATCCGCTCATGTCATTTTGCCTCCACCATTTTGGAGACATCTCAAAATAATATTGAGACGTCTGAAAGGTTTACAATCCACTTATGTTAGATTCTCTCCTTTGCCCCTGCCAACCCATGCTTTGGGCCAACCTCATCATGCGACTCAATGTCTGGCCCTCTTGTCTCAAGGTTTTCAATCCACTCGTCTCACTTTTCCTCCTTCTTTACCATCCCCTCCCCCCAGGCTGTGGGCCTCCTTTATCATGCGAGACGGTCAAGTCACAGAGGAATGCTTTCAGGACTCCGTGTTTGGCGCTCTCGTGCTCCCCCTGCAGTTTGTTGCAGCCGCTTTCTTCCTCACCAGACAGTAAGGGAGCCAACACTACTATCGCTCTTCGTTTATGCTGCTTTCGTTTTCACCAGGCAGAGGTTCCACCCTTACAAACACCCACACGCGCAAAAAGTAACGATTTGTAACCGTTCCCTGTTCTCCTCTCACTTCCTGTCCCCCTTTCCTCCCGCTCCCCCTTGCAGCATTGCGTCTCCTTTTTTCACTGGCCAAGCTCCTTCCTCCTCCGTCGGTTCACAATAGTTTCAGTGGTGGTGGTGCCAGTGTGGGTGGCAAATCCCCTTCTTCGTCTTTCCCTCTCTCGCTCACTCCCTCCTCCTTATCCTTGCAGTATGCGCCTTCTCCTGCCTCTAGCCAAGCTCCACCTGAGCCCGTTCCTCCTGCGGAGGTTCAGAATGGTTCAGTGGTGGTGGCGGTGACGTGCTTTGCAGTGGGGTGGAAGGACAGAGTCATGCGGATGGTGCTGCAGAGGCACCCGGCTGAAAAGGTGAGCAGAGTGGACCGTGTGTGTGGGCCTAGTGCTCTCTCTACTGGTGGCGTTGTGATGGATTTACCTACTATCTTTTAAAGAAGCTGCGGTGCTGTCAGTGCTGGTGGTGACGTGCTTTGCAGTGGGGTCGAAGAATTTTTTAGGCGCCTCAAAAGTCGTCTTTTGAGGCGCCTCAAAAGTCGTCTCATGTCTCGCGTTTTTTTTGCTGGTGGTGACGTGCTTTGCAGTGGGGTCGAAGAACGGGGATATCCCCCCCTCCCATCCGGCCCCTCATGCCCCCCTCTCTCCCCCCATATGCCCCCTCTCCTCCCACCAGCCCATATTGCTCAACGTCAGTCGTTTCCTCTCGCTGCTCATCCAACCTCGTGGGGGTTGGCACGCTGCTATACCCACCTGATTCAAAGCCTCTTCCGCCTTTCCCTCCCACATCCTCCCCCTCTCCCATCCACCAGCCCACCTTGCTCAAACGCGAGTCGCTTCCTCTCGCTGCTCATACCACCTGGTGGGGGTGGGCACGGTGCTACCTCAACCTGCGAACCACCTCTCCCATCCGCACCTCATCCCCCCCTATGCTTATGCCCGATGACACAACGCCCGCCCACCAGCCCATCTTGCTCAAACGCGAGCCGTTTCCTCTCGCTGCTCATCCATCTTGTGGGAGTGGGCACGGTGCTGGACCTATTCGGTGTCTCCCTCCTCTCCCTGGTGGCTGTGGGCGGCATCTCAGGTGAGGGAGTGAGGGAGGGAGTGAGGGAGGATTGAGTAAGTGCGTCAGAGCTGGCTGAGAGACCTAGTGGGAGTGGGCACGGTTCTGGACCTATTCGGTGTCTCCCTCCTCTCCCTGGTGGCTGTGGGCGGCATCTCAGGTGCGAGGGGGTGCGGGAGAGAGTGAGGGAGGGAGTGAGGGGGTGAGTGGGCACGGTGCTGGATCTCTTTGGCGAGTCCATCCTCTCCCTGGTGGCTGTGAGCGGCATCTCAGGTGGGCGGCATCTCAGGTGGGCGGCATCTCAGGTGGGCGGCATCTCAGGTGTGGAAGGAAGTGATGGGGTGAGTGAGGGAAAGTGAAAGAAAGTGAGGGAAAGTGAAAGTGGATAAAAACACCCACTCAACCCTCAGAGATAAAGCACCCACTTTCCACCTGGAATCTCCCTCCGACCTTCTCAAATGCCAGGTGTCGCCATGGGCTTTGCTTCCAAGGAGATGGTGGCCAGTTTTTTTGGCGGGCTGGTGCTGGTGTTCTCACAGCCGTTCGTGGTGGGGGAGATGGCTAAGGTAACAGCAACACACACGGCATGGCCAACCCTCTTCCTTTCCTTCCAGTGCACCGAGCACCTTTGAGAATTCTCAAAAGTGATTCCCAAGTCTCAAAAGAGAATCTCAAAAGTGATTCCCAAGTCTCAAAAGAGAATTCTCAAAAGTGATTCCCAAGTCTCAAAAGAGAATTCTCAAAAGTGATTCCCAAGTCTCAAAAGAGAATTCTCAAAAGTGATTCCCATGCGGCATGGCCAACCCTCTTCCTTTTCCTTCCAGGGCACCGAGCACCGCTCTTCCCAACCCCCTTCCCCCACCTCCCCAAATGTTAGGTGTCGCCATGGGATTCGCCTCCAAGGAAATAGTCGCGAATTTCTTTGGAGGGCTAGTGCTGGTGTTCTCACAGCCATTCGTGGTGGGGGATATTGTTAAGGAGACCCCCACCTCCCCAAATGCCAGGTGTCGCCATGGGATTCGCCTCCAAGAAAATAGTGGCGAATTTCTTTGGAGGGCTAGTGCTGGTGATCTCACAGCCATTCGTGGTGGGAGAGCGCATTCAAGCAGGGGCCATATCGGGAAGGGTGGAGGAGGATGGTACAGGAAACAACCACCCCACGCCCCCACTCCCGCCTCCCTCAACCCTTTGAGATAGAGCATCCCCTCTCCACCTGGCACCTTCCCCCAACCTTTCCGAATGCCAGGTGTCGCGATGGGATTCGCTTCCAAGGAAATAGTCGCTAATTTCTTCGGCGGGCTAGTGCTGGTGATCTCACAGCCATTCGTGGTGGGAGAGCGCATTCAAGCAGGGGCCATATCGGGGCGCGTGGAGGAGATTGGGTTTCTGCACACCAAGCTGGCTGGAGCAAACAAGGCGCCAGTTGTGGTGCCAAATCAAATCTTCAACACTGCAGTGAGTGCGCCTATAACGAGTACGTCAGGGACATAGAATGAAACAATTTAAGCAGGGGGGCATATCGGGGCGGATGGAGGAGATTGGGTTTCTTCACACCAAGCTGGCTGGAGCAAACAAGGCGCCAGTTGTGGTGCCAAATCAAATCTTCAACACTGCAGTGAGTGCGCCTATAACGAGTACGTCAGGGACATAGAGTGAATCAATTTAAGCAGGGGGGGCATATCGGGGCAGGTGGAGGAGATTGGGTTTCTGCACACCAAACTGGCTGGAGCAGACCGTCAGTGGTGGTGCCCAACCAGATCTTCAACACTGCAGTGAGTGCCCCTATTACGGCTATGCCGGTGTGCTTATAACGAGTATTTTGCGAGTCACACTCTCAGCGCAACACGGAGTGCTCCAATACATGGACATATATATATATGTATATATATATATATATATTTTCTCTCTCAACAAATCCCTGCGACTGAGTGCTCCATTACATCTCTTCATCTGCGGGATTGGACCAATGGACGTTTGGGATTGCAATTTGCAACACATTTTATCATCACAGAACCATACATATTATCCTATCATCCTCGCACTCCCACTCCTGTCCTGACATGTTACCCATTCCCCTCAAACCCTGCCAGGTGATCATCCAACTTCTCCCGTGCTCGGTGCTACCCTGTAGCCGTCACATTCGAGCTCAGAATAGAGGATATCGAGCGAGTGCAAGCCATCACGTCTCGCATCACCCGCATGCTCAGGTCGCATGCTGACGTGGACCAATCACAGGGCCCCGCGCATGCAGTGCTGAAGGACCTCAATGGGGCCAGTCTGCATGTGGGCATGCTGGCTTCGCTAAACCCTCAGGTGAGATTTCAGGTGATTCCAGGTGAGTTCAAGTGTTTTCTTGGCATTAGCTATTGCAATTGGTACTCGAGCATTTTGTCATGTCGTCATCCCCCAAACGATACCTGGCTTCTATGCAAGTCTATTTATATTTATATACTATTAATAGATATACATGTATTTGTGTATATATTTATGCGTGTGCATACAGTCGTATAAATGGTTGCTAGATAACTACCTAACAAATTTAGATGCAACCATCTGGTACGCCAGTGGTTGGTACCAGACCCTTTCATGACTGCTACGGCTGGTATGTTTGGGGCGCGATTGCCCAGGGTTGTTGATGGCTTTTATACTTCCTATCACTAAGAGCCATGCTCCTTTTCACTGGTATGATGCAGGAAGGTAGGAAGGTGGTGGACGTCAAGCAAGAAATTCTTGAAAGAGCAGTGAGAATCATTCTGGATGAAGGAGCATGTATAGGCACAAACGTACAATTTCTTGATAGTGGTGCGAATTCGTCATAAGGCTCCGCAAGGAAAGGGTCAAGATGACATTGATCACCCTTGTGCATGATACTTTCCTACCTACTAAATGAGATGTTTGCATCATCCATTTTATCCTCCGCGGTGCCTTTATTAGCGAGGAGTACATTTCATAACCATGCCTTTCGATATACTAACGCATGGTGCACACATACTGCTGTTACCCAACAACTTTAAAAAGCTCACGGGGAAATCATTGGAATATTTGAAAGGGCCAAATGTGCATCTTATGGTAGGTTTCTAAATATTGATTCCCCGCTTTCATTCTGTAACATCACCCATGTTGACTTGATGTGCTCCCTCTGTCATCAACAAGGTCAACAGCGTCGTCGTGGTCAGTCCGAAACTCACTTCAGAGCAGTCCGAAACTCACTTCAGAGCAGTCCGAAACTGGACATGTTCAGTTGACGAATGTGCTCCGATATAGGCCACCTCGCTTCCTGCGGGCCTGCCCACTTCGGTGCTAAGGGCGTGTCCAGTTCGTTCATTTCGGTATTTTTCGTGCCAACGCACGTATCGAGGTTAAAAAATGACTACTGTACCTAGAAACGAATGCATTGTGAGTGGAGTCCAACCATCCTGTAATTTCAGAAGCGCGGACACATTCCCCGCCACACGAATCAACAGTGCTCTGACCACGTTGAAAACGAGGTAACAGTTTCCCTCGTCAATCATAGCTTGAAAATTTTGTGCAGGCGCAGGGGGCGCTGGCGAGTAGAGCGAACCACTGACGAAATCGTGCAAGCGATACAAGGGAAACGAACTGTAGTGGCCAGGACGCGGTGCTGTACCCTTGTTCGCGTCTCTGCTGATTCCAGTAACGTGAGTCAGACGACTCTAGGTACGTGCATGGGGCGTGCCGTCTTGCGAACAGAAGCTGATTGTGTCCGCTGGACACGTTCAGTAAAGGGTTACCACAAAAAATGTGGTGACTGAGGGGGTTACGAACAGTAAATGTACGAGCTGGACCCCCCTAACCAACTTCTCATGTTTTCAAACGTCCTCCCTTTCCTTCCTGTCTTGCTGCTGTGCGACCCGTCCCGTCCTGTCCCTTCCAGTCCCGTGCACGCCAAGGGAAGGGATGCACCTGTCCCACAAAGCAAGGCCAACCAACCATTCTCCGAAAATATTTCCCTTTTCTCACTGGACGGCGGATGCTAGCCCTAGAGGTCTCAATCAACGGCAAAATGCTGCCCACACACACTTTCTCACCCCTGAAGTTTCGTCACACACAATCCAAGCCACCAAGCCACCTTCCTTGACACCTTCCGTGTCAACCTCGCCTCACCAACCTGTCCAACTCTCGCGCCCATTCGCACCCATCCGCACCCTCCTTAATTTGCATCCGCGCTTGAGCACCCGCAATCATATTTCTTCGAGGCTCAATTTCTGTCAGCCATCATCCACTCCACCTCTCGTATCTCCTCCAGCATGTATTCTCACACTTCTCGCTATCAGTCCACAGTGAGCGTTTAGTAGTGTCTGGAACTCCTTGCTGCACCTCTCAGATATTTTCGTATATTCTAGAAATCGCAAAAAACTTCTTGGTGTATAGTAGTAGTCTATTCAGCGCCCGGCAACTCCTCGCTGCCTCGGATATTACCAAACACGGTCGTCGCAGCCACATATTTTCGTGTCGACTCTGATTTCGCATCGCAGCCGCACCTTTTTCTTTCCGCAGCCTCCGAATATCATTATTATCGGCCTTCTCGGAATCTCCACTTTCAGCCACGTCCCACGGATCAACTCGCCAACACCTCGCTAACGCTCGTTTATTAACTCGCGGAGATTTCTACACCGCATTCATGGGCAACTTCTGTAGCAGCGGTTTTTCTAACGACGACGGGTATGCGGCGCCGGTGAAAGTGACTAATGCGGGCGGTGAGTAGCAAATCCATGTCAGCAAAAGCACTAAGTTCCCCGTCAGCCTGTTTATCGTTCGTGCCACAAAATGAATGTTCCCTGAAGATTGAATTCTTCGACCTAAAATATTTTTCCCCTCCGTTTTGCTAATCTTTTCGTCTGCAAGCTGCCCCTCGACAGTGGATTCCACTGCCTTTCCACCTCATTTCTGACCCCGTTGACCTCTTTGACCTCTCTGACCTCTTTGACTGCTTTGACCCCTTTGACCCCTTGACCTCTTTGACCCTCTTGAGGCGCCTCGAAAGTTCAGACTCACTGACCTACCGGTTCCCCATTCCCCCATTGCCCCGCGCAGGCAATTCCGCTCAACCTCCCGCAACCACTGGCGCGCACCAGTTCCCCGCGGCTACCATTCCGCAGTATACGCCGTCCCCCGTGTCGCCCTACCGCCAATGCCATTCCGCGCCTATCCGCGGAGCGTCCCCCTACCATTTTTCCGCCGTCGTACCCGTCAGCCCCTCCCCCCCGCCTGCTCAGTTCCCCGGAAGCAGAGCCACTCCACCCCCCGCCTCCTCCTTCCCCCCGTCCCCTTCCGCCAACCCTAATAATGGCTCCGCCGCCTCCCCTTCCGCCAGCCCCAGTCTTCGCGCAAATGCCTTCTACGACTCCGCATATCATGCTTCCGCTTCCACCACTACTTCATCAGCGGAACCGCTCCCCCCGCCATAATTTCCGCGGTGTCTTCCGCCAACCAGTCCGCGGGCAGCTCCGCGGGGTCTTCCGCTAGCCAGTCCGCGGGCAGCTCCGCGGGGTCTTCCGCCAGCCAGTCCGCGGGCAGCTCCGCGGGGTCTTCCGCCAGCCAGTCCGCGGGCAGCTCCGCGGGGTCTTCCGCCAGCCAGTCCGCGGGCAGCTCCGCGGGGTCCTCTCGCGGGGGGAACTCCTCCGCTTCCCCCTCCGCCGTCCCTGTGCTCCGCGAGTTCAGCTTCGCGGATCTGCACATGGCGACGGGGGGTTTTCGCGCGCCATAGGGGAGGGGGGGTTCGGAAAGGTGTACCAAGGGCGGATGGTGCTGCCTGCGGGCACTAGCAGCGGCATTGGCGGAAGCAGCGCCGCTGGCGGGAGTTACGCCATGGGCGGAAGCAGCAGAGCTGTTATGGGCGCAATGAGGGAATGTGACGTGGCAGTGAAAGTGATGAATGGAAAGAGTGCTACTCGTGACTTGACGAGCTTCAAGGTGAGCGAATAAGCAAATCACTTGTGGGAGTTCTCACCAAAGCAAAGCAGACATCAGCCATCTGTGCTAGCTCTCAACGCTCTCAATGCTCTCAATGCTCTCAATGCTCTCAATGCTCTCAATGCTCTCAATGCTCTCAATGCTCTCAATGCTCTCAATGCTCTCAATGCTCTCAATGCTCTCAATGCTCTCAATGCTCTCAATGCTCTCAATGCTCTCAATGCTCTCAATGCTCTCAATGCTCTCAATGCTCTCAATGCTCTCAATGCTCTCAATGCTCTCAATGCTCTCAATGCTCTCAACGCTCTCAATGCTCTCAATGCTCAATGCTCTCAATGCTCTCAATGCTCTCAATGCTCTCAATGCTCTCAACGCTCTCAACGCTCTCAAGGCATTTCATTCATCCTTCCATCCATCCACTCCTTGCTTACCAGCCAATCAACTCTCCCTCTTATCTGTTCCGTGATTTCAGGCTGAGGTGGAAGCCATGTCAGCGGTGAATCATCCCAACATTCTGAGGCTGGAAGGCGTGGGCACTAAACACATCCCAGGGGCCGATGCTCGTGTATGAGCTCATC